TTTTAACTACACCAAAGAGCCCTGGGGACATCTACTAATTCTATTTGGCCTGTGCTGTTTGCCTGATGAAGAAAGTACCCCCTTCCCCGCCCCGCCCCCGCTCCGCCCCTTAGGCCAGGACTCACCACTAAGTTATCTTCAAAAATAGTTTCAAAACCTATTTTAGGAAGCTCCCTTTACTTTGGGGCATGACAGATTAAGTGAGGCCAATCTTTGGAAAAAGCAATTTGGCCATCCTGGATGTTTCAATAACTTGAAAACTGTTCATGTGCTTTGATCCAGTAATCTTCCATCTGGGACACTATGCTGAGGCAAATTACATGAAATTGCCATTTGGGTATCTTGAACCTAATGTATTTATTACTCTTGATTCTTATGCCAACCAACTCCTCCTGCCATCTTCCGCTTCCCAGCCAATAACAACTCCAATCTACCGGTAGCTTAGGCTCCACACTGTAGAGTCCTTCTGGAATCTTCTCTTTCATACCCCATTTCAGCTGCCCCGGAGAATTCTGTTTGTTCCATCTTCCAACTATACTGAGGATCGAATCACTTCTCACCACGTTCATTGCCGCTGCCCTGATGCAGCACTCTCCTCTGTTTCCCAAATTACGGTTACAGCCCCCGATTGCTCCCCTGGCTTCCACGCTTCCTCAAATACCATCAGAATAGACTTTCAAAACGTGTCAGATGCTGTCTTTTCCCTCCTTAAAACCCTCTAAAAGTTTTTCCTCTCACTCAGAATGAAAACCAGAGTGTCCTTGTCCTGGACTCCAAGGCCGCAGGGGACCTGCCTCTCATCTCTCTAATCTCGTCTTCCTCACTCTGCCTTTATCGCCGCTCCATCCTCGATGGTTTCTTGGCTGGTCTTCAGGCAAGTTACACACAATCTTGTCTCAGGGCCGCTGCATTGATGGCTTCCTCTTCCTGGTATAATCGGTCCCCCAAATATACACATCGGTCTTCTCCCTCTTTCTAGATTCTGTTCCAAAGTTACCTCATCAGAGCAGCTGATCCTGACGTGAAATAACGCTTTATGTGAAATAGGTCACCTCCCCTATTCTGATACTTTTCTTTAAATGGCACTGACTTAATCTAAAACTTAAAATGTTTCCGTTTCTCCCACCTCAGAGTGTAAACTCCATGAAGAGAAGAGCCTTATCTGTTTTATTCCGTCTTATACACCCTGATCTGTGGTTCAAGTAAAGCTCCTGGAATGAACTAGCAGTTGTGCTAGAAGAGAATCATTAGCACAAAGCTGGACACAGATTAATATCCCCCACCTCATGCCCAAAATAGTGGCCTTCTGAATTTTTATCATAACTAGGATTTCAGCTTCTTGAAATAGTGGCCAGTAGAAGCAAGGATCTTATAAATGATCTTTTTTTTTTCCCCCCCCCTGAATGTTAAGAGCAAGGTGCAGACAGAATGCTCCATCATTACTAAATAGTTCAGGGCACCTTTCCGCCACACAGGGACATTCTTATACATAGCTACAATATGAACATCTGGATCAGGCATTCAGCATCGATAAGGCACTATCACTAAACTCACAGACCTCATTCAATTTTTGTCAACACTTTTTTTCCTGCCTGGTCTGGAAGCCAATCCAGCATCGCTTGTTGCACTTAGTTGTCATATCTCTTAAGGCTCTTTCCACTTGGATCAATTAGTTCTTCCATCTCCCTCTGTCTCTCATAAGCTTAGGAGTTTTAAAGAACACAGACTCTCCCTCTGTGGGATGGCTCTCATTCTGAATCCATCAGAAGTTTTCCCATATCGCAGGCCACACATTCTCAGCAGGAACACAACAGAAAGACGCTGCGCTCCACACACATCACCACGGGAGGCATGTGCTGTGCCTAGTGATGCTCTACTTGATCGCTTGGTCAGTTTGGTGTCCTCCAGGGGACTCTCCAGTAAGTTAACCATTTCCTCCCTTGCCATCAATGAGTGCTTTTCAGAAGATGCTTTAAGACTAAGCTGATGTCCTCTTCGCAGCAAGCACCCACCAGCCTTAGCACACACCGAGGACTCCTGCCTGAATCAAGTTGCCACATGGTGACTTTCTATTTCCATCAGTTATGGTTGCCATTCTTCCACAAGGACGAGCTATCCTTTCTTCCCCATGTATTTATTTATTCTAGCATTATTTATTTATCCACTTATATTAGCAAGGGTTCCTGTTTTAGCCACTGGTTTATAATCAGTTACTACCGTTATTTATTTTGTCCCAGATTCGGCCAGCAGGTGCCCCATCCAGCTGACCGGTGAGTCCTGCTGGCATGTCCTCATCGGGCCTTGAGCACTTCCCTACGAGAGCTCCCAAGCTTACTTTGCACATTCTCAGACCAAGCCCTGGAATCAGCCTTGGCCCCTCAAAATAGAGGATGGCATTTAGAAACCGGGATCCCCTGGCCACTTGATGCGTCCATTGCTTCTAGCTTCTGAGTGAAGATAGTTACGGTGTACGTAGGTGTATTTATGTAGATGTATACATCTATATATGATGACTACGCACTCATTTTGAATCCAATCCAACACTTCAGGGTTCTTTATAATTTTCTTTCTTTCCATATTCGTAAATTCCTTCTTCACCACTAAGAAACCCGGTTCTCATTATACGCAATGTTTTACGTCTCTGCTCCATGCCTCCAATACGTAATCCATCTCCCCGTCAGAATGCTTCCTTCTTGATGCTGCCCCCTCCTCAGCCTCTAACTTCCAGGGAAGAGCAAGGGCAAGAGGCAGACATGCACTGTTGATGACACAGATTCCCCAAGTGTATTGTGGCTGGAGAAGAACTGCTAAGATGCAGAGACGTTCTGGAAAACCACTTTGGTTTGCTAAGGTATCAGCACAGAACCTAGCTGGACGGGGGCAGCAGGGGTAGCCAATGGGCTCGTCACTCAGGTCTCTGGTGGTTCAGGACCCCGGCAGTCTCCACCTTTGCCTTCGTGGCATTGGGTACTATAAGACGTATTGTCTCGGTTGCCTGGAAGCTTATTTTCTAAAATGAAAACACGCAAATCCAGCACATCAAATACCATAGAGACACACTCTTCGTGGTAGTTCTTCTTGTGCCTGCTTCTAATTTGGGTATAGCCACCAGGTGTTTGCATTGCTGCTTGAAAAAGAGAAGTCATGCAGGTGAGCAGCCATTAACAGAAACCTATTACCTACTAAGGCCCTGGGGGAAGGGTGCACTTTTGCCATTATCATGAATCGGGTCCTGGGTAGTCGGAAAAAGTGCCAGGTAGGAAGGACAATGTGAGTGAATGAGAACCATTGTGCGAATTGTTTTAGAGACTTTATGCGGCACATATCTCAAGCCAAGGAGACTGCTGGTGTGGATGGGTAATAACGAACATTCATTGGAAGGGATTGCGCTGCATCACAGTTTTAAGAACACTTCTCTAGAGGGGATGTATCTCCGTTGAGTGGTTGTGACCTCTCCGCACAACCATAGACAATAATAACCCAAACAAACATCCCTTGCCAATTGACGCTGGGAGCCCTCTGTCACCAGCCCTGGCAACCAGAACAAACACAGTGAAGAACCATCTCATCTGGTTTCTTGCAGGGCTGTCCAACCTTTTGGTGTCTCTGGGCCACGCTGGAAGAAGAGGTGTCTTGGGCCACACATTAAATATACAAACACTAACGAAAACTGATGAGCAAAAAAAAAAAAAAAAAAAAATTTTAGGTAAATTTAAAATTTTGTGTTGGGCCACATTCATAGCCATCATAAGCCACACGGCGAGTTGGGCACCCCTGTTAGAATGAGGAGGGAACACTCATTCTACAAGAAAATAAATGTCCCACGTTTTTTTCCAGGTGGGAAGAAAGAAGCCGATTCCTGAAGTCACCTGAATGGAGTGGTCCCCAGGCCAGGAGCATCCAGCCTCACCTGGGAACTTGCTAGAAAGGCATGCACTCTTCTGGAGTTCTACCCTAGATGTGCTCAGTCAGAAACTCCGCGGCAGGACCCATCAGCCTGAGTTTTTACAATCTCTAGGTGACACTGATGCACATTTAAATTGGATGGTCACTGATATTCCAGGAGCGGCGTGGGAAGGAGCTCTCTACCAACTGGCCTTACCTTTGGTCTTTGGAGGGGTAATAAGGGAGCTCACTGAAGTTGCTCCAGCAAATGGGAAGGTTGTTTACGACAGGCGCACACAGTACGAGGCACTTAAGATGCAGGAAGTTGTTCCTGTGCGCATAGGTCAAGGGGTAGCTTCCCCTTTTGCCTCCACCTAATCCAAATCGCAGATGGCATTGAATTTGAATCCCAGCAGGGGTCGCTGCTGTCCATAAAGAGAGACCCAGGGAGCGTGGCAAGCGAAGCCCGATCCTTTGACATCACACTAAGCTCCTCCTTGCACGCACACATTACACACACAGGCATACACACGCGCACACACAACCATATACAGACACACACGGGGACCGCGTACTCCTCTCCGACCGCTCGCACCCACCTCCCCGGAGCCGACCTCGCCCTCGGCAAGTGCGTCCGGCGTGGCCACCGGAGAAGCGAGGAGCGAAGCGGCCGCAGCGCGAGGGAACCGGCGTGCAGCAGGAGCGGCGGCCGGGACACCCCGGCTGCACCCCGTGCTTCCAGCAGCCGCGTCCGCCCGCGCGCCGGGGCTGAAGGGCGCAGGGCTGCCATCCCGCTCGCTCCCGGGCCCCCTGCCACCCCTATGAGAGAAGGAGCAGCCGGGCGAAGGAGCAGGACGCTCGGCAGCTGGACTCCTCCGCAAGCCCCGAGCGCCCCCTTCTCCTGCCCCCCGCCGGCGCCCGGGAAGCGACATGCAACCGCCGCGCTTTCGCTGAAAGGGGAAGGGGCAGGCGCCATCCGCCCGCTCGGAATCCGGTCCCCGCGGCGGCTGCGCGTCCCGGCCACGGCCCCCCGGGCCCGGGCGTGAGCAGGAGCAGGAGGAGAGGAGGCCGGCCCGGGGTTGGCCGGGGCGGGGGAGGAGGGCGCGGGGGGCGGGGAGGGGGCCCCGGCGGATAAAGATGGCAATGTCTCTCATCCAAGCGTGCCGCAGTCTGGCTCTCTCAACATGGCTGCTTTCCTTTTGTTTCGTGCATCTGCTCTGCCTGGACTTCACCGTGGCCGAGAAGGAGGAATGGTACACCGCCTTCGTGAACATCACCTACGCCGAGCCCGCGCCTGACCCCGGGGCGACGGGCGGCGGCACGGAGCTGCACACCGAGAAGACCGAGTGCGGGCGCTACGGGGAGCACTCGCCCAAGCAGGACGCCCGCGGGGAGGTGGTCATGGCCAGCTCGGCCCACGACCGCCTGGCCTGCGACCCCAACACCAAGTTCGCCTCCCCGGCCCACGGCAAGAACTGGATCGCCCTCATCCCCAAGGGCAACTGCACGTACAGGGACAAGATCCGGAACGCGTTCCTGCAGAACGCCACCGCCGTGGTCATCTTCAACGTGGGCTCCAACACCAACGAGACCATCACCATGTCCCACGCAGGTGAGCGGCCCGGCGGACGCGGGGGAGGGGAGCCCGAGGGGGCGGAGGCGCGGAGCCGGAGCCAGCGCCTGCCTCCGGGCTCCTTTCTGGGAAGCGTGTGCCTTGCGAAAGACGCGTCTCTGTTCCCTGGACCTACTAAGTTTTGCCGCGCGTCACTTTGTGGGGTTTACAAAGAAGAAAGGACTAACTGTATTGGGGGAATAGCGAGTGTGTTCGGTTCCGGTTAGTGCCGCTCGGACGGGGGTTCGCCGAGGCGGCCTCACTTCTCCCGGGAGGACCGGGGTGGGGGGGTGCGGTTTGGGTCTCCTTGTCGGCGAGGGACCGGCCCCGCACCTGTTTGGAACAGGTAGATCTGATAACTCAGCTCTTCCCTGGCCGTGTGCATCAGGTAGACTCCCGATGCCGGCGGTCATGTGTCAGGAGGCGGGTAGAGTTACGGGTGCTACCATGCTAGTTCAGCCCCGAGAACTTGCTTCTTAAGTCAGGTTTCAGTCCTTCGGGGGAGAATGAGTCCTCCGCCCCGCCCCCCCCGGCTGGTTTGACGCACATCATAAATAATATGAAAAGTCCTGTGCTCTGCCAAGCTGTCATCCGGAGAAGCTGACCGGCGGGTGAGATCGTAAATAACAGCAATCCTCACCAAGCCAAGGAGGAGGATGGTGGTGGCCATAAAGTTATGTCTGCGTTGGCAGGATTGCATTGGCCTTTGCTTGATCGGGAGGTTAGATATGCTTTGTGCGGATCGAGAGTTTCAGGGTAGAAAAACGAAGCTTTTCTCAGTGATCCCAAGGTGCCAGGGCTAGAAATAGGTTACTCCCGGCGGTTTACCCCATGACTGACAGAGCAATGCCCCGTGCTTGGAAGAACAAGAAGTCCTATCCAGGCTTGTCAGCATAGCAGCTCGATTTAGCGGGCGCCCCGAGTCCAGGGCTGCTCCCTTCTTCCACAGAGGGGCTCCTGGGAGAGGCTGTGACTCCCAGAGGAAGAAGATGGGAATGGAAATGACAGATGCGTTTTCTCACTGGCGTCCTCTTAAACGAAAACATCATTTTCCTTAAAAGCCAGATTTTAATAAACAGTTTTGGAAATAGAACACCCAGCTTTGGCTACATTGTGTGTGTGTGGCGGGTGGGGGGGTGCCTTCTTTGGGGGCAAGTTTTCATTCTAAGCGCTCACATCATCCGTTAGCGAAGTACACAGTTCGTTTGCCTCTGGTAATCATCACTGGCTGTGTTAGAAGAGGACATTGTCAACCTTCACACAAACAGGTGGGATGGGGACAGGTCAGTGCTTCTAACACATAGGCCAGGAAAATTCAGTGTGGCGATTTATGACGAGGTGGAGAGGCAGTAAACTTAGAAAAGTTGCAGGAGTGCCTTTAGGAACATAGAATGTACTTTCCTGAACTCAACAGTCTTTAGGGGAAAAGACTGTATTCTGACCTTGAGACCTAGAAGCATAACTTAAACTATGATACTCAAGGATTTGGAGGACTTTGGAAGAGCACTTTAAGTCATGTAAAGTATCTTTAAATAAACATATTTAATATCTTAACTTCAACTGGCAGAGTGGTGTGAAGGATTGTTGGCTGACTTTGTAGGATTCTTTAAATGTTTCTTTGTGCATATGCATGAAATCTCAAACTTGGCTTCTTTGAACACAAACTAAGAGACATCATTTGTCCCTGTCTAAAAACGTTCTCCAGAACTGCCAACACATTGGAGCAATTAACGACTTGCCTGTTTTTAAAGAAAGCAGTAAGCTAATTTTCTACAGAAATGATGCTTGATGCTTAAGACCTAGTGAGAGTAAAGGACTTAGTAATAGTTTGATAGTTAAAGACTAAAAAGTGTAAAGAAAATTCTCTACTATCTAACTATTCTACTTCAAAAAATGTGTTAATGGTGTATCTGCTAATAGCCATGAAACTTCCATAGTATCATTTGACATATTGCCACATTAGGAGTCCGTATTCACTTTACCCAGAGATTGCATTGATTTTTGCCAAAGTCTCATTATAAGTAGATACATGACCCGGTAGCTTGGCAAACCCTTCATTTTACTCTTAAATTCTTTTCCTGAATCTCAAACAGGGTCCACACTGGTCTGGCTGTGAGTGTCTTACACTTAGCTCCAGAAGGCTTTATCTTTTCTAGTTAAATTTGAGTCAGGTTTCTGAATTCAGTTTAGGAAATACATTTTTTAAAAGATTTTATTTATTTTATTTTTAGAGAGGGGGAAGGGAAGGAGAAAGAGATAGAAAGAAAGGTCAATGTGTGGTTGCGTCTTGCATGCCCCCTGTTGGAGGCCTGGCCCACAACCCAGGCATGTGCCCCAACTGAGAGTTGAACCAGAGAACCTTTTTGTTCGCAGGCCGGTGCTCAATCCACTGAGCCACACCAGCCAAGGAATAGAAATATATTTTAGATGCTAATCAAATATTCTTGTTTTGTGAACATGGGATGCAGTACACCAGAGAACCCTTATATTTGTGAACTTCTAAATTCAGTCTCTAAAAAGTGAACATCAGCCTTTGCGTTAAAAAATATATACACTTCTCCTCTAGATATTTTATTATTTGGAACAGACAGCTTTCGGGTGAGGAAAGGTCTGGATCTGGTGTTCTCTGGTCCATCCCGTAATGCCTGTGCATTTCGGTGGGTGACCGGACCCCGCACGCCCACTGTCTTGGAATTCCGTTACGTGGATGTCATTTCCCCCTCTCCTTTCCACGGAGCTTTTCTTTCTGATACTGGTTTTCTCTTTCCTGCTTAAATGATTTGGGTTTCTGCCACTTCTGCAATTATGGTTTCTCATACTTTGTAACCAGTTTATAAATCTTATTATAAGACAGCTTTATTGATACCCAGTTCACATACCACACAGTTCACTCACTCGAAGCATACCGTCCCATGGCTTTCACAATACCGACAGAGTTGTACAACCCTCCCGCCAGTTCCCCAAAGAAACCCTGTGCCCATTAGCAGCTGCTCATCGTTGCTCCCCCGTCTCCTAGTTCCAGTCAATCACCGATGCCCTTTCTGTCTTTAAATATAGTTTGCCGGTTCTGGACATTTCATATAAATGGAATACTGCAGTATTTTTTTTTTTTTTTTTTTTGGTGACTGCCTTCTGTCACTATTTTCAAGGTCTACCAGTCCTGTAGAATGTATCAGTACTGCGTTCCACTTTGCCAAATAATTTTTGTTTGCGAAGTACATACCACCTTTTATTTATTCATCAATTAATGGGCATTTGAGTTCTTTCAGTGTTGGGTTATTAATAATAGTGCTTCTATGAACATCCATGTACAAATTTTGTGTGGATGTTTCTCGTGGGTCCATCCCTAGGAGTGAAACATCTGGGTCACATGGCAACTCTGTGGTTTAACCTTTTGAGGAACTGCCAGGTCGTTTCCCAAAGCAGCTGGACCGTTTCGCATCGCCAGCAGCAGTGTATGAGGATTACAGTTTTTCTGCATCCTCATCGATGCTCGTTATTTATCCTTCTTGTTTGTACCATCCCCAGGGTTGGGAAGTGGTATCTCCATTGTGATTTTAATTTGCAACTCCCTGATGACTATGGTTACTTTTTAACTTAAATCTTAATTCTTCCTCTGCCTTTCAGTTTCCCTTTGTTACTCATTTATTTGTTCTTTCAGCTCATATGCTTTTCGTCTTGGGGAACAGAAAGAGAGAAAGAGATGAATAGAGAAAAGAGATACGCCTCTTTCCATTTAAAAAAAAAAAAAAAAAAGCCAACGGACCAGAGATTTTATATGTCTCCTGTAAAAGGATGTGAGGAACTTCATGCTCAGTGCTTTCAGGAGCTGCTGGCCCGGTTTGCCCTGTGAAAGGGACAGCGGAGCAGAGTACAAAGTGACAGAGGAATAGTCTCCACCTAGTGAGAGCCCCACACGTGAGCTTGCAGGTGCCGGGAAAGGCCATGAGACCTGAGTTGAGGAGTGTAGCCTCTGGAGCCAACTACCTGAGTTGGTGCCCTGGCTCTGCTGCTTTCTCAATGCGGGTCTTTGACCAAGTTACTCCACCTCTTGGGACTTCAGTTTCCTCGTCAGTGAAATGGGAGAATCATAGTAGCTACCTCAGTTGGTTGTTGTGTGAATTAAATGAGTTAGTAGAGTGCTTCCGCCTGTAGCTGGGATGTAGCTGTCAATAAATATCCACCCTGAGGAGCGTTGTACACGGTGACACACAGGAGCCGCGAGCTGGATCTTCCTACCACAGGGCTCACTCGGGCCCTGGAAGCCTCAGGAAAGAGCTCTCTATTGACCCTCTCGGGCTTTAGAGGCCCGAACAGCTGTGCCAGTCTCTTGTTCCTGTGGTTTGAGATGGGGTGTTCCAGCTCCCTCCCGTGGTTGGTGAACATTTTAGGATTCGCCTTTTGCATTTGCGCTTTCTCTTGGCTTAAATTGAAATCTCATCATGGCAAGAATCTATATAATAAACATGGCAGATCTGTAAGTGTGTGGATGTGGTTTTGAGTGAGTTGCGATGTTGAGGAAATGGTACCTTATCTGTTTTTCCTATTTTTGTCTATTGCTTGTATGTAGTTTAATAGGAAAGGAGGGAACGAAACATCTCACCATCGAGGAAGAACTTTGGGGACTCTGGGTCCCTAACAGTAATTTAGAGATAAAGGGAGGAGATGGTCGCCTTAACTATCTAGAGAATAAATAAGCTCAGCCCTTGGCGAAGAAGCACCCAGGATGGAGTATATCCCGTAGATTCTAGGACATTCTCCAAGGTTCGAGGAGAAAATGTAAGATATTTACTGAGACTCTTTCCTGCTTAGGTGGGTGCTAACAGTTTAATTGCCTGGTTCATGCTACATTTATGGCCATTAATGGCTAAAGTCTGTCTTTGCCTAACTTCTGTAAATGAACTATATAGCTGCTATCACTGATTTTTTTTGCAGGACTCATTTTTCTAGAATATTTGAAGTTTTGTTTTACATTTTTCTTTAAATAATATGTTTGCCTT